TTAGATCTTAAACATTTTACCTTAGCCAGCTTGTATGGTTTTTGCTCAGCAGATGATTCTCTCAATATAACAGGTCATGGTGTCTTTGCAAAGAGAGCTTTCATGAAAGGCGAATACCTCCTTGAATACAAGGGCGAATTGATAAATGAAAATGAAGGAAAAAAAAGGGAGGCAGATTATGACAAAAATCTTGGAAGTTTCTTGTTTTTTTGCAATTCTTTTTGGTAGGTAAACAAAAACAGTAAAGAGACTGGATTTGTACTCCTTCACAAACAGGGGTGCAGCAAACAAACAGCTAGGAGTGGTGGATCGAGTTTATAATTGACAACACCTAATTATAATAAACCATGCATGCCCGTATTGCCAAGACTTGCACCACCTCCAAGAATGAAGTGCTTAATTGCTACGTACTGCACATAAATATGGGGAAAATTGCATGGTTTTTAGTAGTTCAACATACCTTTCTTTTGTCAGATAACATATTGTTATAATTTCTTTCCAATTTTACATCTTTATGAAGTGTTGATGCAACATTTTCGGATGGCCTTGGGAGAATGGTCAATGATAGTGACCCGAAATTCGCCAACTGCTACATGAGGAAGATTATAGTGAACAACCAACCTCACTTGGCTCTATATGCAAAGAGGGAGATATCAAAACATGAAGAGTTAAGATATGATTACGGCTTAAAAGATCTCCCATGGCGCAGAATAAAAGGTAGGTGATGGCACGATATATATATATATATACATATATATATATATATATTAATATATATATATATATATATATTGCTAGATACTTCCAAACATTACACCAGTATATATAAACCTAAAGAATATAAGCACTAACATGACTGAAAGTTCATGGCTTAAATGGGGTTAGAGAGACTAATGTGCATTGCTCAAATATTGCATGTTTTAAATTTCTTTGAACAGAGATCTATCCCTTATTCATTAGGAAACATAGAAAGCTTATAGAATGGTGTAAAATATTCTGACAGGCAAGATACAGAAAATATGGTAGCCACTTGCCTTCTTTTTTTTATAGTTCACTAACTAGCTCTTAGCTACACCAATTCATAAAGATTAGGATGATCGAGATTTTTTCGAATGCCTTAGTTTTTTTGTATATTCCAATAATAATGGGACGAGATATTCAATTTCACCAGTGCAATTTGATGCAGCTTTCCTTCTTATAGCCTCGGAATCCGGCATGTCATTAATTTTAAAACTTTGCTAAATTAAACATTATATATAAACAACATATAAAAACCTTCTTACTTCTCAAAAAAGAAAAACTCGAGGTTTATATACTTTGGCTTGCTTTCACAAAGATTTCAGATTTTGTTGTTAGACATGGAAATAAAAATCACCAATGTTTTTGTCGCTTGTTTAGAGAAACTTATTTATACGAAAAAGGTTCATTTGACTGTGAAAATAAAAAAAAATTGATGGTTCTTACCTTCGTGCTTACGCCATCCAAAGTTCCAAAATGTGTGCCTCGCGCTAAAATGTGTACCTCGTGCATACGAGGATGTCTTCCTGTTACTAATTATTCAGATTGTTACGTTTTCCGGTTTTTGACACATTTTAACATTTTATGCATCGCATTTTTTTAAAGTGGCTCCAAACAGTTTAGAAACAATTGGGTAAAATTGAGAACCGATTTTTCATTTTAAACGATAGATATATTCTGTATTATATATACTGGTTCATTTTGTCGGTTAGTTCAATGTTTCATCTTTCAATCTCATTTTATGTATATAACGTGTTCGGGATCCTCATTAATTTTTAAGCTGCAGCAATATCTCCAAGATTCCAAGATTTCTTCAGTGATAAAACAGATTTAGTGCAGTTATAAAAAGCGATATTTATGATTAATTATTTTTAGATATACATACTATACACCAATTGGCGTCGCCAGGAATTTTTTTGAGTGGGCAAAATCTAAGAGCTGGAATAAAATTGTTAACCGCTTCCCTTTCGAGTTAAATTTCGTCCCCCTTGCGGGCGCCACTGTCCCCATCATGAAATAATGAATTTGGATTTTGAATTATAATATCGAATATTTTTTTATTATTGAATATTTCTAACACGATATACATTTGAGTAAAATAAAATTAATTACACATTTCCGCATTTGACAAAAAGTATTCTCTTCCAACGGTGGTAATTTTTTTTTGTTGTAATAAGTTTAGAATAAGTTTATAGTGCCTAAGGAGGGATAGCAATGCACGGAGAATCATCATAGAGCTACCGTAAGTTATCGCGTGTTAAATATCACATATTTGCTTTAGAACTTTGCCAAAGAAAACCAAAAAATTATTTTGGAAAGTTAAAGAAAGAGCTGGATGAAAGTAAGCATGCATGCACTTTATTATGATTACAGTATAATTACGTTGTGTCTTTTACGCAACGTAATTACAACGTAATTATATAATTTTATCCATTTGGAACAGAGAAAAAAGGCGGGTAATTAGGAAAGGAAAGGGTAACTCTGCAGTGATCTTCGATAACACGTAATTAGATCGCAGGTATTCAATAGATGCGAGCTTAGGTTAGTCGCGTTAGATATATTAGCGTAGACAAGCTTGCTTTCTGCTTAAAAACGGGTGATGCTCAGACAGCATTAAACAAAATGCATAACTTCCATGAAGCGCTCACAACCATATATATATATATAATTATATATATATATATATATATAATATATATATTATATATATATATATATATATATATATTATATATATATATTAAAGTTTTCAATACCATGCACAAAACTGATTTTACCCTTTAAAATACTGCTCCAGGGAAGAAATTTAATGGCACACGGTTTTTAATTCAATATATAACCAGCAATGAATCACGAAAGATTGATTGCCATAGATGCTCATCAAATGTATTTTATTTAGAAATATGGTCGGAAAAAGTATTAAAAACGAATACCATTTCATCAGGTCTAAATAAAGGTAAAGAACTGATTAGAACCAATTGTCATGAATGTGAATTGCTGTGAGCAAATATTGCATGGAAATACTGAAAGTGTTCTTCGACAACTGGCACTTACGCATCGGCTCTTGTATATAAAATGCAAATGCACGGTTCCATTTTGCAAGAAATAGAACATAACATGGCTTGAAAGAAAAAAATATCTACACAGAGAAAGTTCAAATGCTTCTCATATTATGCAAGGCAAACTAGACATCAAAAAAATTAATTGAATTTTTTCCACGCGAACATAAAAAAAGATAATAAAAACGAATAAAATAATCACTCTAAAAGTAAATGTTGCATGTATCTTCAAGTGATTGCAGACCAAGGGAAGGAACAAAGTAAAAATGCAAGAGATTGATTTTTTTTTCACCTAATCAAATAATTTGTAATTCCACTTTTGCGGAATAGAAAGGTCTGTTCTCCACTGATATCAGATATGCATGCAAAGTAAACAGGCAGTAAATTGCATATAGAAATGTCTCATACTATATGACTTTCCCATTCAATCCCATTAAAGTGATTGAAGAGCAAATCGGAAGACAAGGCAAAAAATTGAGAAGCTTGCATCACAAGGACTCTACAACGAGTAATATAGACGGTATTTTACGAATAACATTTTGTTTAGTCGAGTAACAAAAATCGTATGTTACACGAAAGTGCAGCCATTATTAGGCAAGATAAGGAGGGCAACAAATCACATAGTATGCTAAAAGAAAAAAATGCGTCTTTTTTAACCATTGAATCTTACATCAAAAGTTTAAGGAATGAAGGGTTAAATGGGTTAAGATTATTCCTTTAGTTATAACATATTGCAAGCAACTGACCTCAAAATTTTATACATGAATTTCATACCATAACGTATTAAATGAATGTTTTGCAAATAATATAAAAGAATAGAATAAAATAATTACTCTAAAACCTAATTTGTATTATAAAGTGATTGTTGAGCAAGGCAGAAGACGACACAAAAATGAGAGAAGCCAGGAGGAGGATTCTACGACGAATGACATAGACGGTATTTTACCAATAATACTTCGTTTGGCCTAGTAACAAAAATCGAATATTACATGGAAGTACAGTCCTTTAGTTGTAAGATATTGCAAGCAACTGACCTCAAAATTTTATACATGAATTTCATAGCATCACGTATTTAATTCAATGGTTTGCAAAGAAAACATGAAACACCTTAAAATAAAAACATAAATTAAAACAGAATAAAATAATCACTCTGAAACCAAATTTTGTATCTTAAAGTGACTGCTGAGCAAGGCAAAAGAGAAGACAAAAATGCAAAAAGCCAGGAGGAGGACTCTACGACGAGTGATATAGATGGTATTTACCAATAATATTTTGTTTCGCCTGGTAACATAAATCGTATATTTCATGAAGTGAAGTCATTATTAGGCAGGGAAAGGAGAGAAAAAAATCAAGTGTAGAATTCTATGCTACGAGAAAAAAATGCGTCAATTTTAACAACTGAGTTTTACATAAAAAAGTTTCAGGAATGAAGGGTTCAAATGAATTAAGCTTATTCCCTTTGGTTATAACATATTGCAAGCAACTGATCTCAAAATTTTATACATGAATTTGATAGCATCACGTATTTAATTCAATGGTTTGCAGAGAGAACATAAAACACTTTAAAATAAACACATAATTTAAAACAGAATAAAATAATCACTCTGAAACCAAATTTTGTATTTAAAGTGATTGCTGAGCAAGGCGAAAGACGAGACAAATATGATAGAAGCGAGGAGGAGGACTCTACGACGAGTGATATAGACGGTATTTTACAAATAATATTTTATTTATTTGATTGGCAAAATCGTATATTACATGGAAGTACACTCAGTTAAAACAAAGGATTTAAACTGCGCATCATAATGTTCCATTACGAATGGTAAAGGCCCATACAGAGTATTTTGTTAGCTTTGAAAACTGCTGATTGGTATAGGAAACTTTAAAATGACTAACAACCCACAGTTAAACCAGGTTATACATACCTTTTTCTATGGCAAGCCATTAACCCCACCTGAAATAAAGAATGCAAAGAGAATAAAATAGTCACTCTGAAACTAAATTTTGTATTTTAAAGTGATTGCTGAGCGAGGGAGGAGAAAAGGCAAAAATGCAAAAAGCCTGGAGAAGGACTCAACGAAGAGTGATATAGACGGTATTTTACCAATAATATTTTGTTTGGCCTGGTAACAAAAATCGTTTATTACATTGACGAGTGGTCATTATTAGGCAGGGAAAAGAGGGCAACAATTCAAGTGTAGAATTCTATGCTATGAGAAAAAAATGCCTCATTTTTAAGAACTGAATTTTACATCAAAAGTTTCAGGAATGAAGGGTTCAAATGAATTAAGCTTATTCCTTTTGGTTATAACATATTGGAAGCAACTGACCTCAAAATGTTATACATGAATTTGATAGCATCACGTATTTAATTGAATGGTTTGCAGAGAGAACATAAAACACCTTAAAATAAAAACATAATTTAAAACAGAATAAGACAATCACTCTGAAAATAAATTTTGTATCTTAAAGTGATTGCTGAGCAAGGCAAAAGAGAAGACAAAAATGCAAAAAGCCAGGAGGAGGACTTTACGACGAGTGATATAGATGGTATTTACCAATAATATTTTGTTTGGCCTAGTAACATAAATCGTATATTACATGAAAATGAAGTCATTATTAGGCAGGGAAAGGGGGCAACAAATCAAATGTAGAATTCTATGCTACAAGAAAAAAATGCGTCATTTTTAACAACTGAATTTTACATGAAAATGTTTATGGAAAGAAGGGTTCAAATGGGTTAAGCTTATTCCCTTTGGTTATAACATAATGCAAGCAACTGACCTCAAAATTTTATACATGAATTTCATAGCATCACGTATTTAATTGAATCCTTTACAAGGAGAACATGAAAACACCTTAAAATATAAACATGAAATAAAATAGAATAAAATAATTACTCTAAAACCTAATTTCGTATGTTAAAGTGATTGTTGAGCAAGGCAAAAGACAAGACAAAAATAAGAGAAGCGAGGAGGAGGACTCTACGACGAGTGATATAGACGGTATTTTACCACTAATATTTTGTTTAGTCGAGTGACAAAATCGTATATTACATGAAAGTACAGTCAGTTAAAACAAAGGATTTAAACTGCGCATCGTAATGTTCCATTACCAATGGTAAAGACACTTACAGAGTATTTTGTTAGCTTTGAAAACTGCTCATTGGTATAGGAAACTTTAAAATGATTAACAATCCACAGTTAAACTTGGTTATACATACCTTTTCTATGGCAAGCCATTAACCCCACCTAAAATAAAGAATAAAAAGAGAATAAAATAGTCATTCTGAAACTAAATTTTGTATCTTATAGTGATTGCTGAGCGAGGGAGGAGAAAAGGCAAACATGCGAAAAGCCAGGAAAAGGACTCTGCAAAGAGTGATATAGACGGTATTTTACCAATATTATTTTGTTTGGCCTGGTAACAAAAATCGTTTATTACATTGACGAGTGGTCATTATTAGGCACGGAAAAGAGGGCAACAATTCAAGTGTAGAATTCTATGCTACGAGAAAAAAATGCGTCCTTTTAACAACTGAATTTTACATCAAAAGTTTAAGGAATGAAGGGTTCAAATGGGTTAAGTTTATTCCCTTTGGTTATAACATATTGCAAGCAACTGACCTCAAAATTTTATACATGAATTTCATAGCATCACGTATTTAATTCAATGGTTGCGAAGAGAACATAAAACACCTTAAAATAAAAACATAAATTAAAACAGAACAAAATAATCACTCTGAAACCAAATTTTGTACATATCTTAAAGTGACTGCTGAGCAAGGCAAAAGACAAGACAAAAATGAGAGAAGCGAGGAGGAGGACTCTACGACGAGTGATATAGACGGTATTTTACCAATAATATTTTGTTTAGTCGAGTGATAAAATCGTATATTACATGGAAGTACAGTCAGTTAAAACAAAGGATTTAAACTGCGCATCGTAATGTTCCATTACCAATGGTAAAGGCCCAGACAGAGTATTTTGTTAGCTTTGAAAACTGCTGATTGGTATAGGAAACTTCAAAATGACTAACAACCCACAGTTAAACCAAATTACACATACCTTTTTCTATGGCAAGCCATTAACCCAACCTGAAATAAAGAATGCAAAGAGAATAAAAAAGTCACTCTGAAACTAAATTTTGTATCTTAAAGTGATTGCTGAGCAAGGGAAGAGAAAAGGCAAACATGCGAAAAGCCAGAAGGACTCAACGAAGAGTGATATAGACGGTATTTTACCAATAATATTTTGTTTGTCCTGGTAACAAAAATCGTTTATTACATTGACGAGTGGTCATTATTAGGCAGGGAAAAGAGGGCAAGAATTTAAGTGTAGAATTCTATGCTACGAGAAAAAAATGCCTCACTTTTATGAACTGAATTTTACATCAAAAGTTTCAGGAATGAAGGGTTCAAATGAATTAAGCTTATTCCCTTTGGTTATAACATATTGCAAGCAACTGACCTCAAAATTTTATACATGAACTTCATAGCATCACGTATTTATATCAATGGTTTGCAGAGAGAACATAAAACACCTTAAAATAAAAAACATAAATTAAAACAGAATAAAATAATCACTCTGAAACCAAATTTTGTATCTTAAAGTGACTGCTTTGCAAGGCAAAAGACAAGACAAAAATGCAAAGAGCCAGGAGGAGGACTCTACGACGAGTGATATAGATGGTATTTACCAATAATATTTTGTTTGGCCTAGTAACATAAATCGTATATTTCATGAAAGTGAAGTCATTATTAGGCAGGGAAAAGGGAGCAACAAATCAAATGTAGAATTCTATGCTACGAGAAAACTAGGGATCCAAGGATAGTGCAAAGTTTTCATGCCCTGTAATACCTAAGCAACACGTTTTCCCAACATAAACATTTTGACTTATGCCAGTAAAAATATAATGAACTAGGTTAAACATTAATCAAAAGGAAATTATTCAAAGTACTCAAGTTACGTTAGCCGCGGATACTGTCACTATTAAATTATAATTTTAGTTGCCCATGTAAACCGGACGCGATTTTCTCAGTTTAGTCTCTTTTCTTCGTCAAACAACTGTGACTACATTCACTACATTTATATGATGGCAACAATTTATCGTCATTTCATAAGAATAGCCAAAATAGTTGCGTTGTAAATAATGTAAATAAACCGCGGTGCATATTATGTTTATGATGTGGATACTTCGACGCGTAGCTAAATCGATACAAAACAATATACATATAATCAATACTGTATACCGCCAAAATGATTTGATTACTGCACAAAATGTCCGTTTTGTATAGTATCATTTATGTACTGTATGCAGAATACCAGGTATCGACTTGCTATATCGACATAATATATATTCGACATTCGTGTAAGAGATCTATCAATACATAAACAACACAGCGTCGTTTCTTCCTAACCTATTAGCTCTATTTATGGAATAAACCTTCCAAATTATATTTGTGTCGAATTGAATGCTCGTAATTCATAACATAAGTTGATAAATTGCGTAGATTCTCAAAGAATTGCACGATTTTTACGCTCGGAATGTTTTGAAGCAATGCTCGTCGCTCCTCGTTTCTTTACATCGTGAATAATGTTGAAGGCTCGACGGCACATGCGCAGTTGCGACGTATAGGAAAAAATCGGGTGTTCCGGGGGTAAATCTGCGCAAATCCCTTTGAAACAAAACCCAAACCGCGGAAAAGCAATGCTTTAAAATTTACAGTAACCGTCAAAATTCCTCAATATTTTGGTGAACTTAGCAAAAGGGATGTAGAGAATTAATAAATAAAGCAAGTTAAACTGATTTAAAAACTTTAAATTACTGATTATATACAAAAAGCTACTATACGCATAAAAACACTCCGCCCCCCGGAGTTTACACTATGACTGACTGACTGTCTGACTGTCTGATGTGAATTTTCGCCACTCACCACAATACTGCAAAGTTTCACAGAAACTTTGCACTAAAAATGCGTCATTTTTAACAACTGAATTTTACATAAAAAAGTTTCAGGAATGAAGGGTTCAAATGAATTAAGTTTATTCCCTTTGGTTATAACATATTGCAAGCAACTGACCTCAAAATTTTATACATGAATTTCACGTATTTAATTGAATCCTTTACGAAGAGAACATGAAAACACCTTAAAATATAAACATGAATTAAAATAGAATAAACTAATTACTCTAAAACCTAATTTCGTATGTTAAAGTGATTGTTGAGCAAGGCAAAAGACAAGACAAAAATGAGAGAAGCGAGGAGGAGGACTCTACGACGAGTGATATAGACGGTATTTTACCAATAATATTTTGTTTAGTCGAGTGACAAAATCGTATATTACATGGAAGTACAGTAAGTTAAAACAAAGGATTTAAACTGCGCATCGTAATGTTCCATTACCAATGGTAAAGGCCCATACAGAGTATTTTGTTAGCTTTGAAAACTGCTGATTGGTATAGGATACTTTAAAATGACTAACAACCCACAGTTAAACCAAATTATACATACCTTTTTCTATGGCAAGCCATTAACCCCACCTGAAATAAAGAATGCAAAGAGAATAAAAAAGTCACTCTGAAACTAAATTTTGTATCTTAAAGTGATTGCTGAGCAAGGGAAGAGAAAAGGCAAACATGCGAAAAGCCAGGAGAAGGACTCAACGAAGAGTGATATAGACGGTATTTTACCAATAATATTTTGTTTGTCCTGGTAACAAAAATCGTTTATTACATTGACGAGTGGTCATTATTAGGCAGGGAAAAGAGGGCAAGAATTTAAGTGTAGAATTCTATGCTACGAGAAAAAAATGCCTCACTTTTATGAACTGAATTTTACATCAAAAGTTTCAGGAATGAAGGGTTCAAATGAATTAAGCTTATTCCCTTTGGTTATAACATATTGCAAGCAACTGACCTCAAAATTTTATACATGAACTTCATAGCATCACGTATTTATATCAATGGTTTGCAGAGAGAACATAAAACACCTTAAAATAAAAAACATAAATTAAAACAGAATAAAATAATCACTCTGAAACCAAATTTTGTATCTTAAAGTGACTGCTTTGCAAGGCAAAAGACAAGACAAAAATGCAAAGAGCCAGGAGGAGGACTCTACGACGAGTGATATAGATGGTATTTACCAATAATATTTTGTTTGGCCTAGTAACATAAATCGTATATTTCATGAAAGTGAAGTCATAATTAGGCAGGGAAAAGGGGGCAACAAATCAAATGTAGAATTCTATGCTACGAGAAAAAAATGCGTCATTTTTAACAACTGAATTTTACATAAAAAAGTTTCAGGAATGAAGGGTTCAAATGAATTAAGTTTATTCCCTTTGGTTATAACATATTGCAAGCAACTGATCTCAAAATTTTATACATGAATTTCACGTATTTAATTGAATCCTTTACGAAGAGAACATGAAAACACCTTAAAATATAAACATGAATTAAAATAGAATAAAATAATTACTCTAAAACCTAATTTCGTATGTTAAAGTGATTGTTGAGCAAGGCAAAAGACAAGACAAAAATGAGAGAAGCGAGGAGGAGGACTCTACGACGAGTGATATAGACGGTATTTTACCAATAATATTTTATTTCGCGAGTGACAAAATCGTATATTACATGGAAGTACAGTCAGTTAAAACAAATGCATTAAACTGCGCATCGTAATGTTCCATTACCAATGGTAAAGGCCCATACAGAGTATTTTGTTAGCTTTTTGATTGGTATAGGAAACTTTAAAATGACTAACAACCCACAGTTAAACCAGGTTATACATACCTTTTTCTATGGCAAGCCATTAACCCCACCTGAAATAAAGAATGCAAAGAGAATAAAATAGTCATTCTGAAACTAAATTTTGTATCTTAAAGTGATTGCTGAGCGAGGGAGGAGAAAAGGCAAACATGCGAAAAGCCAGGAAAAGGACTCTGCGAAGAGTGATATAGACGGTATTTTACCAATAATATTTTGTTTGGCCTGGTAACAAAAATCGTTTATTACATTGACGAGCGGTCATTATTAGACAGGGAAAAGAGGACAACAATTCAAGTGTAGAATTTTATCCCACGAGAAAAAAATGCGTCCTTTTAACAACTGAATTTTACATCAAAAGTTTAAGGAATGAAGGGTTCAAATGGGTTAAGATTATTCCCTTTGGTTATAACATATTGCAAGCAACTGACCTCAAAATTTTATACATGAATTTCATAGCATCACATATTTAATTGAATCCTTTACAAGGAGAACATGAAAACACCTTAAAATATAAACATGAAATAAAATAGAATAAAATAATTACTCTAAAACCTAATTTCGTATGTTAAAGTGATTGTTGAGCAAGGCAAAAGACGAGACAAAAATGAGAGAAGCGAGGAGGAGGACTCTACGAGTGATATAGACGGTATTTTACCACTAATATTTTGTTTAGTCGAGTGACAAAATCGTATATTACATGAAAGTACAGTCAGTTAAAACAAAGGATTTAAACTGCGCATCGTAATGTTCCATTACCAATGGTAAAGGCCCATACAGAGTATTTTGTTAGCTTTGAAAACTGCTGATTGGTATAGGAAACTTTAAAATGACTAACAATCCACAGTTAAACTTGGTTATACATACCTTTTCTATGGCAAGCCATTAACCCCACCTGAAATAAAAAATAAAAAGAGAAAAAAATAGTCACTCTGAAACTAAATTTTGTATCTTAAAGTGATTGCTGAGCAAGGGAGGAAAAAAGGCAAACATGCGAAAAGCCAGGAAAAGCACTCTGCGAAGAGTGATATAGACGGTATTTTACCAATAATATTTTGTTTGGCCTGGTAACAAAAATCGTTTATTACATTGACGAGTGGTCAACATTAGGCAGGGAAAAGAGGGCAACAATTCAAGTGTAGAATTCTATGCTACGAGAAAAAAAATGCGTCCTTTTAAGAACTGAATTTTACATCAAAAGTTTAAGGAATGAAGGGTTCAAATGGGTTAAGCTTATTCCCTTTCGTTATAACATATTGCAAGCAACTGACCTCAAAATTTTATACATGAATTTGATAGCATCACGTATTTAATTCAATGGTTTGCAGAGAGAACATAAAACACCTTAAAATAAACACATAATTTAAAACAGAATAAAATAATCACTCTGAAACCAAACTTTGTATTTAAAGTGATTGCTGAGCAAGGCGAAAGACGAGACAAAAATGAGAGAAGCGAGGAGGAGGACTCTACGACGAGTGATATAGACGGTATTTTACTAAAAATATTTGATTTATTTGATTGGCAAAATCGTATATTACATGGAAGTACAGTCAGTTAAAACAAAGGATTTAAATTGCGCATCGTAATGTTCCATTACGAATGGTAAAGGCCAATACAGAGTATTTTGTTAGCTTTGAAAACTGCTGATTGGTATAGGAAACTTTAAAATGACCAACAACCCACAGTTAAACCAGGTTATACATACCTTTTCTATGGCAAGCCATTAACCCCACCTGAAATAAAGAATGCAAAGAGAATAAAATAGTCACTTTGAAACTAAATTTTGTATCTTAAAGTGATTGCTGAGCAAGGGAAGAGAAAAGGCAAACATGCGAAAAGCCAGGAGAAGGACTCAACGAAGAGCGATATAGACGGTATTTTACCAATAATATTTTGTTTGGCCTGGTAACAAAAATCGTTTATTACATTGACGAGTGGTCATTATTAGGCAGGGAAAAGAGCGCAACAATTCAAGTGTAGAATTCTATGCTACGAGAAAAAAATTCCTCATTTTTAAGAACTGAATTTTACATCAAAAGTTTCAGGAATGAAGGGTTCAAATGAATCAAGCTTATTCCCTTTGGTTATAACATATTGCAAGCAACTCACCTCAAAATTTTATACATGAATTTCACGTATTTAATTGAATCCTTTACGAAGAGATCATGAAAACACCTTAAAATATAAACATGAATTAAAATAGAATAAACTAATTACTCTAAAACCTAATTTCGTATGTTAAAGTGATTGTTGAGCAAGGCAAAAGACAAGACAAAAATGAGAGAAGCGAGGAGGAGGACTCTACGACGAGTGATATAGACGGTATTTTACCAATAATATTTTGTTTAGTCGAGTGACAAAATCGTATATTACATGGAAGTACAGTCAGTTAAAACAAGTGCATTAAACTGCGCATCGTAATGTTCCATTACCAATGGTAAAGGCCCATACAGAGTATTTTGTTAGCTTTGAAAACTGCTGATTGGTATAGGAAACTTTAAAATGACTAACAACCCACAGTTAAACCAGGTTATACATACCTTTTTCTATGGCAAGCCATTAACCCCACCTGAAATAAAGAATGCAAAGAGAATAAAATAGTCACTCTGAAACCAATAATTATTATACCGCATATAATAATTCCAGCAATACCGCAAGTTTGCTGTTGTGCGGCTGGCTTTAAAATTAAGTTAACTACGGTTGGCTAATTCTGCAAATTATATAAGAATTCGCTTGCGAGTTTTACTGCAATTTGTCGTATTTTCTCATTTTAGACATTTCCCACTGGGCAATGATAAGTGGAAAAAGGTGCCACCAAAATGTAAGCATCCCTCTTTATAGCAATGTACGATTTATAAACATTGATTTCCTGAGCAATTCCTGCCGAATTACGAAGCAATTTAGCAATTCTTGAATTACGTATTAAGTTAGGCCATAACTAACTAAATCAATTCAGGAAAAAACTTTGATGGTGAAAGATGTGTTTACAAGCAGTGAAGACGATGAGGAACACTCCGGGGGAATTCAGGTTGAGATCTTGCTTAAAATTATATTTCACATGCAAAGACAAAACTAGGAAAATGTTGTCAATTCTCAATATTTGATTTGTATTAAGGAGAAAACAGATGAAAAGCTAGCTAGCAAACAAGCTCCAACAGGTCTAGGTGAGCACGATTAGGCTATTGCAATTGACACCATATTTTGCGTATTCGCAGTCTTTTGCCATTTCAGGTGGAATTGAAAATCCAGTTATTTAAAAGCAGGAGGGGGCTAAGGCCCGCAAATTTAAATGAAGAATTTTTGTACCAACAAGTAAAGATTTTGAATAAAAAATAGATTCTTTCCACCAAGAATGGCAGACTACTTTGGTAATATTACAAAAGTCCAACAGCAAATATATACTTCAAATACTTAGGTTGTATACAAAAAGCTCATGCATGCATGCAAAAGCTTCTAGAAATCAGCTAGCACTTCAGTGCCAATAGTACTAAAGCCAAATGAAACTACATATTCTGTCTTCCTTTACAGCAATATTTTTAAATTTATAATTACTATATAATTATAATGAAAATGTGGTATGTAAACACAATTACCAAAATGCCAAAGAATATAATAATTTAATTTTATCAGACAGGGTACACAATTGTCCATCTGCTTATATCTGCCTGTTTTTTGTAGTTAAATTAAGAAAAGATGGCCATGACATAGGGCATGGATTGGTTATGCCTCATGCCACAACTGTACATGGATATCAGTTGATTGAAGGTTGGGTTTCTGTGGCAATAGAAAAACTCTGTCAGTCCAATGTATCATGCTGGGATGATTATCCTACCCATTCTAACGAAATTGAAGTAGGCAGTTTCAGTGCATGGCCAGTGGACCAATTGATCCCATTAGAAAGTTCCGGTGAGTTAAAATTGAATATATAATGATCTGAAAATAATTTGGAAAACTGTATCCCATGCAATATTTTTTATGTCTTCCTTTCTCTTTCTCATTATTTTTTCTTTTCTTAAATTTTGAAAAGTTTGGCTTTTACTTAGATTCATAATTATATTCTAAAAATCTAAACATCATAAATTTTAAAGCAATATCCAGACTTGTGGTGACAATTCTTAAGATCATCATTGGTGTCATGATGTTTTTCAACATGTTGATGACTGTATTGTTTTTTTGTTTTATACTTTTTAATGCAATACCAATGGAAAAATCAAAGGGCAAAATGTATATTGTCGAATATTGAAAACATTCGCCAAATGCTTAAGACTACAGTTTGAAGATTAGCTTATCAGTGATTGACAATTTTTTTTCCCCACTTTTTACTTGCATTATGCAGCAAGTAGGAAAACAATAAACTGTAAACATTTCCCACTTAATTTCATCTTAGCAATTTTATAACAAAAATGATTTAAATTTCAAAATAATATTTAGACCCACCAAAAGATGCCATCGTCCAATCTGGAGAACTTGCTGCGCCTAAAAGAAAGAAACTATTTGTGGATGTAAGTTGTTTCATTTTTCAGAATTATTTGCATTATTTTTACTGTCTTGTAAGTTTAAATTGTCTGCAATCTAATTCAGTGTATACAATACCTACCCAAAGTTTCTTATTTTTAAATTCTATAAAACTATGAAGGTAAATGTAATTTAGACAATGAAGCAAAATCTAAAAGATTCTTGAGTGTGCCTAAGTGCCTTGAATATAATTATATAATGTAGATTATTAAAGAACTGATGATATAAATACTATATGAGCAATGTAACACACCCTGATTGAGCTGGTTTGACATCAACATTTCAGATATTGTCAAGTATAATATCATTGTAATTACTTGTTATTAATTATTGACTGGACAACCCACAACTATTCACTAACAAATATGACTATATGTCTTCCCTGCAACAGTCCATTGATAACAAACACCAAGCACTTTTATTATCTTTAGTCAACATGCAGGCCTTGGATAAAATTATGTATTGTAAAAACACATTCAAAAGATATTCACAAAGTTCTGAAGTTGCCATATTTGTAATAACAGCCAATTGGTGTATTTATTCAATAATTCCAACACATGCATTTTAAGCATTATCATAATCATTCCTTTATTTAGAAATTGATTGTTTTTTTTCACGTCAATGAAAATAGAAATATTAGCATGGCCCTATTTAATACAGTGTGTATATTAGCACGGCTTGAAAATAAGAATTTTATTGATATATATGAATTTGTATATGAATTTTACACCAACCTTATTCCAAAACAGGAATTAAAAACCTTTACTAAACCAGGACCACGAACAGAGAATGAGAAACGAAGGCTGAATTCACAATTTCTTTGCGAAACACGGAAACAAACCTTGTAAAGCTTTGTCAGGGCATGGAATGAATGTTGTAAAACACGGCTAGACTTGGCTAGACTAGACTCAACTCTGGACTGTGGATCGTAGACTGGACTGGCGCCAGTTGTATCAAGCCTGTTTAGCTTAAATGGTGGATAAGCCAAAATTAAATAACACTCTTACATCTCTCTTGAATGTGTGAATTTGAATATTATGCACTAAATAATGTAGTTGTAAACAGTATCTTTGTATTAAGGTTAAAAACATTTAGTTTGCTTTTTGAATAAAACGATAGATTTGGTTTCTATTATGAACTTAACCATCGTTTAAGCTAAACGGGCTTGATACAACCGGCCCCTGCACTAGTAAATCCCTAACTGGATTTTTAAAATCAAAATTAATGTTATTTGCATCTGGCAAGCACGGAAAATACATTATCACCACTAGATTCTCCACTTTAATATAAAATGACAGAATACTTTACTTAGAATAAAAAATAACCAATCACAACTGCGGAAGTAAGTTATAGGTAACACCAACAATGATTAGAATCATAATACATTAATTTGTCCCTTCGATGCATTAATATAGCAAAACTTTGGCCATTACTGCAAACTTTTGTTGCTATTCATACCATACTTGCTGATTGTCTTACATAATTACAAAAAAAGCAAAAAATAGTGTTGAGCTTATCACTTCTTATTATAAAGGTGTAAATAGCTTATAAGTGGTAAATGAAAGGCCTGTTATCTGTGTGTAGAAAATCAGAAAAAACGTTTCTTTGCATTTATATAGCTTTTTTTGCACACACCGAAGCTGTCAAACTTCTATTGTCCCAATTCTAACTGAGTCTGCTTCCTTTTTGTTGAAGGACAAAATCTTTCCGCAATCTGACAATGACCCCTTCTCTTCCGAAGATGACTATGAAGACATCGTGAAAGTTAAGCCAGCTGACGATGCAAATATCGGGCATCAAAGTGAGGTAAGTTAGTTTATGAAGATTAAGCGGACAGTCTTTGGAGCAGGTTATCCAAAATTGTTTTTATGTGAAGTTTAGTAGGTATGCATAGCGTTAACAAAGATTTCAGATCTTGACCCTATAAGCTTTACAATTCATCATCTCTGCAATCACGTCATTTAGCCATGCAGCAAAAATAATCTACGTGATTTAAATATCTTATTAAAGGGCTATATATAATTTGTGCAACTTCACTTTAGCCTCATTTTTGTAGGAAGCATATCTTCTATCCGAAAAGTAAAAATTTCTAGTTGCTGGGTATTTTGAGCAACAAAAAGAGATTAAAGCGATCAATAATTCTTTTTAGGATAGCAGCCCATCCGGTGAAAGGAAAAAGACACTTGAAAAGCTTGGTGAGTTTACGACTATTACAGGCTATTCCGCCTATTCCGCCTAACACTCGACTATTACGGCTATTCCGCCTATTTGATTGTGTATATTTATAGATAAATTTATATACATATACTTCATACGATTTTAATGCGATTTTCCATCAGGCGGAATCTTTCGATCGGACAGAATTATTCGCTTGATTTTCTTTTCATTTGTGACCGGTCGAGAGAATACTCTGCGGTCAAATTCTCACAATTGAAAAGAAATTCAGGGGGAAAATTTCGTTCCATGAAAAAATATCGCCTAGTGAAACCCCTTATTCACTACAAATTTGTTCCGTGTGACAAGACAAATTTGGTCCGTATGTACATATGGTCACGACCTGCTAGGGCTATCCTTTAAGAGCTACAAAACTATATTGTCAATAATACTTCATTCACGAGTCTGTAGTATTCACGATATTGCACAGCGTACTTAGCGCTATTGCCCCATGAATGTGCGAATAATCATAATGTCCACGAGCATGCAGTGGTATGCTGTAGATGCTTAGGTTCCCATATATAATATTCAAAAATGTGCCACCAAGAATTAATTATTAATCGTTGAAGATGAACGAAGGCTTTTTATGAATGAGGTAAATGAGGAACAGTAATGTAATTATATATGCATACATAAAAAGTTTAAAAACACATTTGTGTCTTTCTTAGCTTACGTCAAAACGGCACAGAAGACAAAGGACGATGTTCGGATTTACGACCGAAAGCATGCATGCTTTTACTGTGGGCAACTGTGCACCAAAATTGCCAGACATTTAATCAGCAAACATAAAGATGAGGAAGAGGTGGTGGAAGTCTTGTCTTACCGGAAAAATGGAGCTGAAAGGAAAAATCGTTTGACAAAGCTTCGTCTGAAGGGTGACTATCACCACAACATGACAACATTGGAAACTGGCGACGGGGAGATGATTGTTGTGAGAAGGCCTGGAAAAGATGAAACCGTCAGCGTCCACGACTTCCTGCCCTGCGAGTTTTGCCTTGGGTTCATGAGGAAATGGGATTTATGGAAACACCAACAATCGTGTGAATTCAGGAAAGAAAGTCCAAATGAAACCGAAAGTAAGCAGGTACAACTCAAGGCAAAACTCCTCTTGGCGCCAGTTTTAATCGGTAGCGACAACGAGAGGTTGAATCGAATCATCTCCTCAATGAAGAACGACGCGATTGCCAACATCGTTAAAAAAGATGACCTCATCAAGGCTTTCGGTGCCATGATGATTGAAAAAGACGGCGAAAGAGACAGCAATTTTATCTCCCAAAAAATGAGAGAGCTTGGTCGTTTGGTAGAAGCACTGATTGACAATAACGCCAATACCAAAATTCAATTACATGATTTCATCAAGCCCGAGAAATTTGATATGATAGTCCAAACAGTGCGAAAAATTTCTGGGTTCAACCAGGAATCTGGTAAAGCAGACGTGCGAATACCATCTCTGGCGCTTAAAGTTGGTTACTCTATTCAAAAATGTGCGGCGATTTTGATGGGTCAGGCTTTGCGTTCTAAAGATGAGACTGCTGCAAAGAATATCAAAAACTTTCAAAAGCTGATGAAGTCGGAATGGGAGTATAGAATTTCCCATCATTCTTTGACTACGTTACATGAACGAAGATTCAACAAAGTCAATGTACCTCCGTTAGCTGAAGATATTGCAGCACTTAGAAACTTTATCGATAAAAAGATAAGCGAAGAATCTGAAAAGTTAAAGAAGAGTCCGACGACGAGCAGCTGGACATTGCTTGCAAAATTGCTACTTGCGAGAGTGGTAATGCTGAATAAACGGCGAGGGGGTGAAGCGTCTAAGCTTCTGCTGTCTTCATACCAAAAAAGACCTGTCTGGACTGAATCAGCGAGTTCTGAAATTTTGGACAGTTTAAGTTCCTTGGAACGGCGCCTGTCACAACGGTAATATAAATTATTCTATCTATTTATGCAATAAACCATAACTATAAAGTCACAGTAAATACCATATATTTACATTCTGTATACGGTGTTGCCGCTTAACTGTGTGCAGTAGAAGCTGTTTCTTGTGCGTTAGCAGTGGGTTGTAACTTCATTGCCCAGTATATTTTTTGTACCGGAGTACTTACCATTTATTTTGACCCATTTTTTTAATTTCTGCACCGGTGGACTCGTACTTGGGATGATAAATTTAACGATGCTCTATTCATTACTTACATTTTCTAGCCTTGAAATGGTTGAAGTACGAGGAAAAAGGGGACGTAAGGTCCCAATTATTTTGACGCCAGATATGAGATCAGGGATCGACCTTCTCAATTCTACAAGGTGTTTAATTGGTGTAAACGACGACAATCCCTACGTTTTTGCAAGGGCACAGAGAAATTCACTGGAACCCATAAGAGGGTGGGATTGCCTGAGGCAATTTGCGATGGAATGCGAACCAAAGTTGAAGAACCCAGAAGCAATCACCAGTACAAAGCTTCGTAAATACATTGCCACAATTTCTCAAGTGCTCTGTCTTAAAGATAAAGAAATTGATTGGCTTGCGAGACACCTTGGCCATGACATCTCCACTCATCGTGAATACTACCGCCTGCACGAGTCTACCATAGAAATTGCCAAAATCAGCAAACTTCTTCTGGCTGTGGATAGTGGTAAAGCCGGTTCTATAAAAGGGAAGAGTTTGGATGAAATTGACATTGACGGTAGGTTAGTTTTTCTTTGGGTAATCATCATTTCATTTTCCAAATTTTATCCGGTGAAAACATTTTA